CTAATGATCTGTTGTGGATATCATGGTTTAAATATTTTTCATCGGCTATGAGTTAAAGATAAAATCGATATATTTACCTGAGGATCTTACCAATTCAAGTATAATGTTGATGATAGACATTATATAAAAAACTAAAATCTACACAGTAATCAAAAGATAATATATCGGTTAAATTGTTAGCCTGACGTGATACAATATTTTTATGACAAAGAAATCCCTCGTCTTACCCCCGGAGTGAGATACAGCTGGCTGTAAACAATAACAGTTTACCATGGCTTCATCTGTTTATATCACATCGTGGTGAGTGCTTATTTGTCCCCTTTTATGGAAACTGAACACATCGTCAAACTATAAATATTACACGGATGATCTAATTTATATACGTGATATAATCACGTCCGCGACCAAAGTGGTGCTCTTGTCTGAGACAATGGTTTACATTCCGTATAAAAATGTTATTTAAGTGTTGTAGCAGCTATAAGAACGTATTGGTAAAGATGAAATATTGCATAACAAAAGTAAACAATGTTCAACATTATACAATGTGGTATAACAAAGTAAGACAGTGTAACAAATATTTCAGTTACGCCTGTACAAGCGTCACATTTATGTTATCTTAAGATTCAAAATTGTATCCATGTTGACCACACCAACAGTCACTATTTTGGGATTTAGTAACGCACTCCTTCGGCATTATACTGTATCGGCATGTCTGCTGCCTTTATTTGGCAAACTAATTGAAGCGTTTAGGACACACCAGACTCGGTCTGGCCGCACAGACTGCTGGGAAATTACCGGTATTCTGTTACGAATTGGCTGATTAGTTCCAACACACCTCCCTGATTTGTACTGACTCAGATTTAATGGACGTTCATCACCATGGTGAGACGGAACAGGCGTTTATACAATGTAATAAAGACAAATGATATCACACCTAATTCGTGACCTTTGCGACCTCAACGCCACAGTGCGGGCAACCGATGACCGGAAGTAGACTAATGAACTGATGTTCCAAACAACATAGTACCATTCACTGATGTATAATGTTTTAACACCCCTTCCTTGGTTCTGCTTTATACTAACACTTATATCCTACATAATCCCTTTTTGTAACTGTTTCTAAGCTAATTACGGCGACAGGTACAAGAAATGGTTTTCTCCAACATGCTTATTTCGCAGAACGCTTAGATCTTGGCAGTAATAGAGCAGTTTATGTTCTCTGTGTGTCCGTAGATCTTGCGAACCCAGGAGGGCCCGGCCAAAGGTTTAAACTCTCAATTAGGACAATGATAGAATATTCGACATTAAATCGTCTCTGGAGTGATGGGATAGACTATACACAGCCGTAATGGTAGACCCTCGCCCGCCCAATACTCGGAACCCAGAACATGAGCAATGGGTTCACTCGGCTCATCTAACGTTAGGCGTCGCAGACTTCATTTTTCTCTGCGAACCGTACACTTCCGGAATTAATTGATAACCTGCCTTGGCGTTAGAGGTTGCACAATGTCACTTGTGTCATTCCATCAATTCCATTCTACACAATAAATACCATTGACTGAATCTAAAATGTTCTTCTCGCATTTGTATCCTTCTTGTATGAAAGAGAACATCTCATGCTTCAGTAGAAATATCCCACAGATTACTGATAAATCAAACGGAGAGATTTATGTTAAACTGAAACTATAAACACATATTCACAAGCGAATTTAAATCGCGCTAACAAATTAAACGTCAGTTTCTGTCTGCTAAGTTCTAACTTAGACTTCAATTTTAATACCAGTTCGACGTCAAAAAGTGACAACAGCGATGCTTTCATTATAATTGGTATTTCCCTCGGTACAAGATAGAGTTGGCCTCTTCGGTTCATACTGCTGCCAGGAACAATCGCTTAGACGACGTCTCGGGCATTTTGTAGGGCATGGCAGATGATAGGATTAATTGGCAGATGTCAATCTGGTCGGCGGGAGGTTTGAGTGCTGGAAGAGTAAGGTAGTCATAACGATGACAGAATATCGCAAAGGCACTGCTTTCTGTCTAACGTGGCCTTGAGAAATGTAACGTAATCTGGAGAAGCATATTACACAGCCAAAGAAATTACTACAAATGATCTAAAATTTTATATAACCTTAACCAAATTGACGCGTCGACGCAGTTATATACAGAAAGTGACGAAACAAGTTCCACACGGTTGATTTTAAAAAGACGTTCACTATGGGACCCAGGGCGTTAAAGTCAATTGATATGGGAATTCGAACGCAACAACGCGCCGTACAATTAATGACACAGTGTATTTGTTACCAGTAAAAAGGCATATTTCGTGGATGGAAAATTCGCAATGTTCCTGACTTCCTGGAATGTCCTACGGCGATTATATTCCTCGTCAAGTATGCCGACAATTATGTTACAAACATTCTACGTTTATTTCAGGTTGTGGGGCTAATTGGAGAATACAAAAGTATAGCAATTAAATTCCAACAACTGTACATAATTCAACACATTTTTAGAGGTAAATTTGTATACACGGGAGGGATTTGGTAAAGGGTTCTCCATACGTCACACAACTTTAGGGCCACATAAGGTAGTCTGCTGTTAATCATGAAAAAATAGTGTTATGAGATTAACGTACCTTGCCCCCCAAAACACAAACCATGACAGAGTTGGGCATTATTTTTTTCTCAGTCCGAGACCCGATGATTCCATATGATGTACGATATGTAGATAATCTACAAATATGACGACAATGATGACGTTTTTCGTCCTGTGAAGATCAAAGTTACTATCACCCAATCATACATTTTTTTTGTCGACAGCCAATGCGTCAATACTTTATAACGACTATTCAGCGTCTGAAACAGTTTTTGTTTTTCCAATACCATTAATTCATAAATTTCGTATTACACATGCAAATATATTCAATCATTATTTGCCGGGTTATGTCATGGTATGTCCTAAATCAATACAAACTATACCGGACCAGCGAAATAGCTTTATTTACCGAGCCAGCGAAATAGCTTCGTTTATCGTACCAGGGAAATAAATGTAGCTTTGTTTACCTGGTCAGGAAAATAGCTTAGTTTACCGGGCCAGGGAAATGGTTTTGTTTACCGGGCCAGGGAAACAGCTTTGTTTACCGAGCCAGGGAAATAGCTTCGTTTTACTGACTATTGTTCCTGATGTGCCTTATGATTTAACAGATAAAACAATTGTTGAAATGTCATATTGCCAAGGAAACCTTAACCCATACTCTGCTATTATTGGTTGCAAAATCGTGGATGACTGAAGACCTGGTTTAGATGGAATTTCGAAGCTGGTGGTCTTGGATATTTCTTTGTGTCTGTGTTATCGTAATTACTTAAAAATATTGATGGTTTCTTTCCGATCCCAATGTATATTTATATAGTTATTGATAAAACAATGAAAGATTACTTGGGATGTAAAAAAAGACCATTTTAGAATACGACTAGGTAAAAAAATTAATTTCATTTCATACCGTCAGTATTTCAGTACAAATCTGAGCTTCACGGACACAAAGCAGAACACAAAACATGTTCCTGTTACATAACAAAGGCCCATCTCTCATTAGTTGTTTTGTTTGGTTAATTACGTCATTGAAATAGCCCGTTAAACGGAGACTTACAGTCTATCTATCAACTAAGGCCATACAATATAGTTATAAAAATTGCTACGTATATATCTATATAGGAATTAGTGTAGGACATTAAACCATTGTTATATATTATACATCTATGTAATCAAAAGGTACTAAAATTAGCATATTTCGACACTGTATGATGTATCCAGGTAATACCACCACCTCTAAAATCCTCACAAATTTATCAAAAGTCGTGTTTGCCCAAAAAAATCTCTTTTTATCGATAAAATTGAATTTGTTTGTCCAAAATACTTCTTTGTATACACAAGTTGTCAAAGTAATGAATGTGTTTGTGTACTTGTTAACATGCACTCACCAACATCAACATACATCCCAACTAATCCCATACACACTAACAACATTCTGGTACATAAACATCACCTGTCAGTAGTAGGACAAAGTGCTTGTAACCCTGATTGGGTTCCCGTACTGAGCCCCATAAGCCGTTACCTCTAAACATGTTGATGTAATTGAAAAACAAAGTTATTTTACTTAAGTTGATAAATCACATTCATCATGGAGAACACGACCTGGTGAATATCTCTGAATTTTCTATCTTATGTAATATCGGTGCGCTGTTATCAAGGTTGTTCAATGTGCGGACGTAATTTCTGAAATCTCATCAGCAAAATTTTGGAAGAACATAGATAAGCACACTAAAAGGTCAAGAGGTAGCACCGTTTGTTAGGTCTTTTTCGGGGTTATTTGGCTTCCATACGTCTTAAATAAAATGTTACGATATTTTTAATCGACAATCTGAAAAGCCGATATCTGTCGGTGGCATCACGTATCTCGGCATGAATCCGGAGGCTTTTTCTGTAACTTTAACATAGAAACGAACCATTTTGATCAAATTTCTTCAATTAATAATGAAGAGGGGTCTGTTGTGCTTCATTGAAAAGACCTGTCAACTTGAGAGTCCTTGGAGCACATCCGATATTATACTTCCGCTGTGTATGTATGCGAGATTCTCGCCTGAAATCATTGTATGGCAAAACCGACGTTCCAATGGGGGTCTCATTGGGGTAAGGATATAGTGGCAGCATATAACGCCAGCTTGATGTTAAGATAAGATGCCGTTTGTAGGTAAACGTTTGTCAATGTCTTGGCACAATTTGAGTACAATATCTTTGGTTTTGTCTGGGTTTGGTATTAATGAGGCTGGTCCCCCCTTCCCGGAACCCCGAACACCATATTTCCATGATCTCTCCTTTGAATGCAATGACATCCGCGTTGTTCGTTAGCTCGGTATTTGCCGACCAAATGTAATTTCTGCCGGTGTTAGACCAGTCACTTGATGAAGCCAGGGTTGTTTTACTAATGACATGTTCCTTGTTTCTTACAGGACGAGAAGAATCAGATCATGACGACAAGTGTTTGGCTCCGACAAGTAAGTACAATACATGAACAGAACGTGTTGTATCGCCACGTTAAAGAGAGCAGTCTGCATTGTAACTGTACACAATCCTATAATATAGACTTAAGGTCATCGCTTATTGTCAAACAAACATACATCGTGTGACGACTTCGTGTGGTCTAATATAATCACACAATGTTTAGTAGTCTAGCTGACCTCAGAAAAGGACAGCGGAAACCCAAGATAGTGAGGCAGCCATCTTATAAAATATCTTACAGTGGTAACAAACAGGAACCGAACCTCAAGTCAATATAAAGAAGTAAACAAGGAAATAATAGGTATTAACACAAAAGTACAATTATTGTAAAATAAAAATGCTCAATAATATATTATAAACGGTAATCAGAATCATGTGACCTGTCAAAAGTACAAATCAACCATATTAGGAAATCTTTGATAAATGATGGATTACGACCTCGCGTTGCTTCACTTAGAAAGAAAATTGACACTTAATTGCTTTAACATATTTTTCATTTTTTGGACACGATCGATATGTTTTTTGTTTTGCCAATTCCTTTATACAAATAACTGGGAAATCTCTTGAACTGCCATCGTCAAGAAAGTCAAACAGGACTAGAGTAGATCAGGAAACAAGATTAGAACGCTCGGATTGGTTAGCTCTCATTATCTACGTTGTCTATGCCATAGAAATGTTTGTTTGGAAGGAGATTTACTTCCTCAAATGTCAGACAGCCTTTATCAAAACTGTGCATCAGGGATTTCTCCTAAATATTTCATGTTTTATTCTTAGATAACAAAACATTGTATTTTATCATTAGATGATTTTGCAATGACGACCTCCTTAAATTACTGCTGTCGCCATAAGGCTCTAGTCTTCGGCTCAGACCAATCAAATTATTTGTAAGCAAGCGCTTAAGACTTCCGGTAACAGAACACAAAGACCCGAGACTTGTGGGTAATCTATCGGCAATGTAGAAAAAATATCGATTGATCTTCAGTGTTAAACCTTTCTAGTAGATTAGTTTTAATAATTAGACAAAAATTCTAAAATCCTCTAGGGTTGTATCGTATGTATTGAATTATAATTCGCTTGATAATATTGACCTCAAAATTGTACCGCCATTTTTAACGTCACCTACACATCACGCATATCAAGTTCAAGTTAAATTAAAGGACGTATACTCTGGGGAAATATTGCCCATTTATCAATGTGAATGGTAACCCTTCTAATTCAAATATACGAGTTGTTGAATTTTTTTTTCAATGCCAATACACGGCATTGCCTTTTGAAGTGTTGCCATTGTTTCATTGACTAATCTGTAACTCATGATATTTTTGGTATCTAGTGTCAGTTATGTTTCAGGAAAGTAACCTTATAAGTCTAAATGATATAACCAGACGGGACCTAAATGTGATCATAAGTAACACTTTGTTCAGCCAGCAATTGTTTCTAGATTTACAAGTAGGTGTGCGTTCCTGCCTTAGACTACAATTTGTCTTATTGTAACAGTTTCTTGCCAAAATCACACAATAAATCAATAAAGAACACAAAAAGTTGACGCCCCCGTAAACTTCGTTTTATGATAGATTTCATCGAAACAAAAAACATATATTTTAATTTGTAAACTTCAAATAAACAAAGTAAGGTAACAAACGTTTTGAAATTTTAACATGAACATTGAAAAGGTTGACTAGAGATGATACACCAGTGTAAATGGGTTGTTCCTATCGTTTGGTTCTTGAAATTATAAAATGCTTCTCAAAACACACTACCAGTTCGTTAGCACTCGCATTAGATTTTGAATGCAAAGCCAGTTCTTTCCATTTCTGACAGTTTTCTTACCTTCATCTTTAGAGAGTTCCACCGTGTTCACACATGTCGGTAAATAAAGCAACAAGAAAATAACAACATGTCAACAAAATCCAATCTCAACCTAAGTTCAATGTCAGAAAAAAAACTTGAGGTAACGATTGTTTGGGTAACAGAGCACGGCTATATTGATAATTGGATGGGGATGTCTGATACAGTACAGTGAATATCATAGAGACCATTAATACGAAATGATATTATTATATTGAGTCACTGTAGTGTAAAAGGTATTGTCTCCGAGTTTATCAGTACGATAATACGTCTCAGTGGGACTTGTTTATCTGTAACAAGTATTACCATCCACATCAGCTCGTGATGTCAGTAAACATCCTCATCACATCGTAGATTTTATGTGTAGACCTTCCAAGCTTTGAACCGTTTGATACATATGACGTATAAAGATGATATCTGTACGATTTATACAGGATTTGCTTCTTATTTCATAGCGAGCCTAAAGCCGTTCAAATCTGATGTTATCATACCATACGAACAGTGTCATACTCAGTGAATGCTGATATTAGTACAAGTTTATTTCACATCATAGACCGAAATAAAACTTATTCTGGGAATGTATTGCTGGGGACTATTCCAGGAATGATTAGAGTACATTCTTTGTTGACTTACGCCATCTTCAGACAGCTACTTCGTCGTGTAGTCTTCGGGTCGTTTTGAATATCTTACCAATCGGCGAAGCATATTAAACGCCAGGCTCTGTAACGCTGTAAATTGATCAAATGTCTATTACATGCAATTTGCTTTTTAATGATTACGAAATCTTAACTGAATGGAAGACTATATCTGCGTGCGGCCATACGCCAAGGCTTGATCAGATGTAACGACGGCAGATCTTATCACGTAAAACATTCCCTCCAATCCATCAAATTCACGTCACAATAAATCTCTACCGGAGTTCCTTCCCGAAATCAGATAGCACCTGTACCAGCCAGGCCTAGTGCGCATGTGTTACGTGAGTTTCCGATTGTTATGACCCGGCGTTTATTGCAGATAGACTACTTGTAGCACTACCGTACAACTGACGGTATCATTTCAGCTACTTGTAGCGCAGAATTTAATGTCGGCAGTATTGTTCATAATGAGTTTTTTGACTCCATGATATAGTCTTAACGGTTATTTTCTCTTTTCAAATTTAATGTTTGATGACTTTCGTTGGCATTTTAACGAGAGTAGTCCAGTTTTCTGCTCCAGAACTGTCAAGATATATGTAATGTATACAGTCCTCCTGTACAGGGATAATTGGAGACACACAAATGACTTTTTCTCTAAATGATAATATTTTATTTTCTGGTAAACACATAACCATGCCGGAACAAAACCAAAGCGTATTCATTTGTAGAGTAAGGTTGTGATGCTAGGGTTTAATTTCATATCCTATTGAATATAGCATATCTCAATGTTTTACCTTTTCTTCGTAACTTGAGCCACTGTGATATCGTTCACCATCACTCGAAAGTTGATTGATTTCAAGCGATAGGTTTATAAGCATTAAGTGTCAGAGGTCTATAGGAGACATGAGTCCAATTGGCCGTGATTATTCCCCTGTTCTTGAATATTCTTTTTAGTAAGACTTGATGCCAAGCCTCCTCTCTACGGGTGTTTGTTGAATTTTAAGTGCCTATTGCAATCATCTTTCCCAGTCCTCGTCAACATGCGTCCACATCAAATAAACGTTCACAAAAACAGTATATAACCAAAGAAAGCTCAATCTTCTAATGACATTCTCGTTTCAATGTTCTGATAGATGAGGCCAAATAACTGATAAAACAACTACCTTTTCCTTGAGACCTAATGACGGAAAGTCATTCGGGTGCTGTGTGCATTTTTCCATGTTCCAAATTCTCCTTGAGGAGGAAAGTACATTTAGAATATCGACTTATCTTAAGTCACTTTTTGGTTTGTTTCTTCGGAAGACAATTCTAATCCCTTGTCTACGACTTATGAAAAAACGACTAGACAAAAGACCATGCCACATCACGCTTCACTTGATGTTTGTGCCAAAGGAAATAAAAGACATGGGATACATTATATTACTTTAATAATTTATGAATTATATGACACAACTGTGATACAAAACTAACTTCTGTACTGCAGTTTCACACCATGGTCAATTTATAACATATTTATTTGATAACCAGGAATGGATTGATGGGCGACTGAAATGGGACCCGCGGGCATACGGAGGCTTGCAAGTCACACATATTCCCTCAAATGACCTCTGGCGGCCAGACATTGTCCTATACAATAAGTAAGTATCAATTAAGTACAGCTCCAGTTATTGTTAGAGTGACGTGTTACTGTATATTGTCTACGCCGAAACACGACTCCAGTATTATAGGAGAAAGCTACTTCTGTGTATTGTCTACACCGATACACAGCTCCAGTTATATAAGAGAAAGCTGTTTCTGTGTATTGTCTACCCCTAAACACAGTCCCAGTTGTATAAGAGAAAGCTATTTCTGTATATTGTCTACACCGATACACAGCTCCAGTTATGTAAGAGAAAGCTGTTTCTGTGTATTGTCTACCCCTAAACACAGCCCCAGTTATATAAGAGAAAGCTGTTTCTGTATATTGTCTACCCTGAAACACAGTTTCAGTTATATAACAGAAAGCTACTTCTGTGTATTGTCCCTCCCCTCAAAATCACAGCTCCAGTTATGTAAGAGAAAGTTATTTCTGTGTATTGCCTACTCCAAAAGCACAGTTTCAGTTATGTCAGAATTCTTATCAAAACGTCCCTTTGTCTAATTGGTCACTGTAGAGCTCGATCGCTTCAGTAAAATTGTCGATTTACTTGGAAGTCTACTTCCGTAACAGTGTCTCACTAATTATTAGTGTCATCATGATGTTAGTATATATAATAGTTCTTTTTCACACCAGAAATCAGTGTGTAAGGTTTCGATACCGTCATCAAACTGATGACCAGTGTGAAACTGTCATTAAACTGATGACCAGTGTTGAATCGTCATCAAACTGATGACCAGTGTTGAATCGTCATCAAACTGATGACCAGTGTTGAATCGTCATCAAACTGATGACCAGTGTTGAATCGTCATCAAACTGATGACCAGTGTGAAGCGTATTACACATAATGTATTAGTTCATCTGTACCGTATAATTATATGTACACTTAGCTGGAGCATAGGATGACAAAATGGTGACAATATTATTATAGCTGATCGAAATGAAGATCGTCTAAATGTACATTAGGTATAATAATTATTTCATGACAGTGAATTTTGCTACGCTTTGTTTAAAACGTGCTCATAGATGTGCGAGTTCCTTCAATCTATGTTTCCCAATTAAGGACGGGAACGCCAGCTCATGACACGCGGCGGGGACTCTAACATGCGATTTTATAACGTGATGTTGCTGACTTCAGATATCATACATTCTTGATTTTCTATGAAAATTAAGGATTTCATTACTTTCTCTTATTTGAAGATTCGAAATCAGGGCAACTGTTAAAGTGAATTTAGCGCGTGATGTTTCTCTGTTGTGTAAGAGTCTACGGTGTACGACGTCATGTATTTACGGCGCCATGTCTTCCTTTGTACAGACATACCGTCATACCGTCATGCCATCCATTCGGGTAGTGTTGACCTCACATCTTACCAGTTACTCATCTATAGCGGCATTCGCGACTTTTTCCATGATATCGGCGAGGCGTCTGCCTGGCTTTTGTCTCCCAACTTTAGCCATGTACACTAAATATCAACTGCGGAGTTTCCTTTGGTGCTTGAACTCCACATTAGTTGCTGCATTTGGGTCATTTCCCTGGTGAATTTCTCATGTGTAATTTCTACCTCTTGATGAAAACAATACCACTTCTGTAAAGAAATATATCGTTGAAATGTCAATGAATTTCATGAGAGCACGTCATGGTTAAGCTTCATTTGTGCGATACAGTAATGGGTGCGTTTTTATTGAGATTTGAGTGTAATCACATTCGTTTGGTCTGTTTCGCCTGGGGGGATATTAACTATCGAACTCTCTCCAATCGTGTAACCGATGCACGTGTGATGAACGTCCAACGTTAACAGATCGTGGTCTTTGCATGACAAACAATCTCTCCTTGCCGCCACTGGCCATACACGGAAAGTCAACAGCGCCACCTATGTTTACAGACTAGTGTTTAAATCCATTATTATCACTGCCATCAGAATCGTCCTCTCAGAGATACTACTTGATCAGATAGCCGGTCTCTTCGATCGCGGAAGGCTTGGTAACAAGAGCATCGTATAATGTTCGCGAGATTTAAATAAGATTTAACCTATAGCCGGATCACGGTTGAAAGATAACTGTGCGTGAGTAGCCCAGTAGTTACAAAGGTCACCTTACACCGTACATTGGTGCGTGAGGAGACCAGTAGTTACAAAGGTCACCTTAAACCGCACATTGGTGCGTGAGGAGCCCAATAGTTACCAAGGTCACCTTACACCGCACATTGGTGAGTAAGTAGCCCAGTAGTTACAAAGGTCACTTAACACCGCACATTGGTGCGTTAGTAGCCCAATAGTTACCAAGGTCACCTTACACCGCACATAGTATTGCGTTAGTAGCCCAATAGTTACAAAGGTCACCTTACACCGCACATTGATGCGTGAGTAGCCCAATAGTTAAAAAGGTCACACATATTCGAGCTTGAGGTCACCTAACACCACATATTCGAGCGTGAGGTTACCTGACACCGCATAGTGGAGTGTGCGGTCACCTAACCCGCATATCCGAGCGTGAGGTCACCTGACACCACATATTCGAGCGTGAGGTCACCTGACACCATATATTCGAGCGTGAGGTCACCTAACAATGCATATTAGTGCGGGAGTAGACTTATTATGATAAAGATAAATATCAATAATTGTATACACACGGCTTATCAAGACACAGAACTCAGTCTTTTTAATAATGTAAATATTTAATGTTTATTTTCCCATTATTGAGTGCCTTGTGCATTGTATTACGTCAAATTTTCTCCTTCTTGCCTTCCCAGAAAAGGAAGAACACCAAAATGATAACATCACATATTTCAACTACATTTGAATAATACCTTTATGTATAGTTGATACAAGTAGTTTTTTTACATGGAAAAGCAGTGATTGAAACTCATCTTTGTGAGTCTCTGATTCGAGTCGTTTCTCGTTTCAGTGCGGACGGAGACTTTGTGGTGACCCTGCTGACCAAGGCTGCTGTGCACTACACTGGTCGAGTAGTGTGGGAACCACCGGTCATCTACAAAAGTTATTGTCCAATCAATGTCGAGTATTTCCCGTTTGATATGCAAGAATGTTTTATGAAATTCGGTACGTGGACATACGATGGACATCAGGTGGATTTACGTCATCTTTGTGACTCCAAAGCCGTCATGGTGGGGGAAAACGAACAGGTGATAGACAGAGGTATCGACATCCGGGACTTTTACCAGAATGTGGAGTGGGACATCATTAACGTGACTGCGAGGCGGAAGGAGAAAAATTACCCGTGTTGTGATCAGCCGTATTACGACATCATGTTTAACATCACGTTAAGACGTAGGACTCTCTTTTATTCTCTCAACTTGATCATGCCATGTCTGTCCATTTCGTGTCTAACTGTACTAGTGTTTTACTTGCCCTCTGACAGTGGGGAAAAGATCACACTCAGTATATCCATCCTCCTGGCCCTTACCGTGTTCTTCCTGCTGCTGTCCGACATTAATCCGCCCACCTCGCTCGTCATACCGCTGATCGGGAAGTACCTTTTGTTTACTATGATTGTGGTGACTATGTCTATATTTCTAGCAGTTTACACTCTAGGAATCAACTTCAGAACTCCAACAACACATAAAATGAAGCCATGGGTTAAACGTGTGTTTACAGAAATTCTGCCAAGGATTTTATTAATGAAAAAGCCCGACTTAGAAAGGAAACAGAAAGTGCCCATTCGGACGGTAAACGGAATAGAAATGAGGGAGGTGAGAAATATATATAGCGGTACTGGATCATCATCTCCTAGCACCTCAAAGTGGAGAGACTCCCATCCGTATGATAACCTCCATCACAGAAACATGTCCGAAGAGAGAGCGGAAATGAACAAATATCCGGCGGAAGTACGAGATGCCCTCCAGGGCGTGACGTACATCGCTAATCATCTTCGGTCAGAAGACGACGACAACTCGGTAAGTTTTAGTGTTGGGGTAAGCTAACGGGAAAGTTTAATAGTAGTGGTTACGGACTATCACTTCAAATGTACAATCCGCAGTGTCCGGTACATCAATAGAAGAATAATCAATCTGAAACACCATATATTTCATTTTACCAATAAGATATAGGAATTAATCAACTTAATAAAAAATATCGTCACTGCAGTTTTGATAAAAAAATCTTACAAGATCAAAATTTAACATGTATGATCAACTAAAGCGATGGTTACTACTCACTGTATTTTAATTCGCCAATTTGCTTTCTTTATCATTCAGGCTCTCTCTATATAAAACATCCTCTTCTTTATCATTCAGGCTCTCTATATATAAAACATACTCTTCTTTATCATTCAGGCTCTCTCTCTATATGAAACATCCTCTTCTTTATCATTCAGGCTCTCTCTGTATAAAACATCCTCTTCTTTATCATTCAGGCTCTCTCTATATAAAACATCCTCTTCTTTATCATTCAGGCTCTCTCTATATATATATAACATCCTCTTCTTTATCATTCAGGCTCTCTATATATAAAACATCCTCTTCTTTATCATTCAGGCTCTCTCTATATAAAACATCCTCTTCTTTATCATTCAGACTCTCTCTCTATATAAAACATCCTCTTCTTTATCATTCAGGCTCTCTCTATATGAAACATCCTCTTCTTTATCATTCAGACTCTCTCTATATATAAACATACTCTCTTTATCATTCAGGCTCTCTCTATATATAAAACATCATCTTCTTTATCATTCAGGCTCTCTATATATAAAACATACTCTTCTTTATCATTCAGACTCTCTCTCTATATATAGAACATTCTCTTCTTTATCATTCAGACTCTCTCTATATATAACAACTCTCATCATCTCTCTATATATAAAACATCATTCAGGCTCTCTATATATAAAACATCCTCTTCTTTATCATTCAGACTCTCTCTCTATATATAGAACATTCTCTTCTTTATCATTCAGACTCTCTCTATATATAAAACATACTTTTTCTTCATCATTCAGGCTATCTATTTATATATTATCTTAATAGAGTTGTTAAGATGCGTGCTGTAAGATTATCAACCATTTCTTTATCTTTTATTGACGTTCCACTGAAATAATGATATCGTTCACAAAAGTTTAATATGTAGTCAAAGGAGTAACGTTGATATTGCAGCAGAATTTATTGTGTTGTAAAAGAAAGAAAAACCCACCAAAATCAACCTCGGTTTGGTTTTTTTTTTACCCAATTGTGATCAACAGGATAAGGATTATATCTGAGACTGGGGCAACTCTGAGGTAATATCTACCTCTCGTGTAAAATTGTAGGAAATTTACAGCATTCCAACGAATTACAACACTGATTAATTCAATACGTCATAAGGAAACACAGCATTGAAAAAAAATGTAAATTAAAAATCGCTAAAATATATCCAAATGTGGTATATTTTCCCCTTTGTTTCGTTTGCAAAACAATATATGAAATCTACAAGTATCATTGTCAGTATTAGATAGGAATGAATTACACGACCGCTAACGTTTCTTGAATTGTGATTTTGCCACGGAGAAACATTCAAAGTTTACCCACGTGCCTGATTTGGAGCTATATTAAAGTACATATTGAACGATATCCCAATTAATGCAATGCATGTTTTGAGAAATATCTTAAGTCTATCCCTGACCAGATCATTAGATTATTTTCTGTGCATATCCCTAACAGAAAAGTCGACTTGGTTAGAATATCAGTCAGGTTGATCGAAATCAAACGTCATGCTAAACCAGTCATTAAAATAGGAAAAGGAATTATATTTCACATTTAAACAAATAAATGATCTTACCGTTCATAATACACAGTGGAAGGGTACATAATTTTAAATTGAATCATGAGATTAAGGAAATTCAGGAATGTTAAACTTTAATTTGTTAAAGGATTTTTATAAATATATATATTTGGTCATCAGAAGCTGTTAACTGATGAAACATTTCACACTTATAAAGAAAATAAAGTCAATAACATCAACAAAAAATGCTTTCAAGTAATACTGATATTGTTCAATATTTTTTTATGCAATAAGTTTGTTGTAACATTTGGACAAATATATACTCTGATTTCTCTGTCCTCGCTTACTGACAATTCCCAATAGCCCGTTAATGTGATTCTCCTTATTTCATGAATATGAAAAAAAAAACATATTTTTTCCTGGAAGATTTTTCTTTCTATTCAATTCAATTCAAAAACAAAAAACAAAACAAAACAAAAAAAACAATAGTAAATATTATACTATGTTTATCTAACTTTAAATCTATACACTTTAATGCTCAGTATAATGATCATATATAAGACATTGAGGTATTTTCTGACAAAAAATAGGTAATGCTGTAAAGAAATTGAAAAAACCTTGATGTTTGCTACACAGCATACTTATCTCCATTTATTATCTTTGTTTTCAGGAAGTTCGAGACTGGAAGTACGTTGCTATGGTGATGGATCGTTTATTCTTGTACATTTTCACGACAGCCTGTGTTTGTGGTACATTGAGTATATTTCTGTATGCGCCCTCCCTCTACGACAAACGTCCTCCACTTAACAAGGACGCCACTGACAATTGTACAATTTAGGTCACGCATGTGCTAATTAAAACACGTGATAAGGATTCGCCTATGAATGCCACTGATCCAACCATTGTGATCTCACTGTAAAATAAAGGACGAAATAAATTTTTGTTTTGTATTAAAATATTTTCTGTTTTGCTTAATTCAATTTTATGTTTTCGCCGAAACTTCTGAAAAAATTATTTTGCCATTAAAACAGTTTCATTGCACAAGGTAATGTGATTGTCACTAGGGTGTTGTTGTTAATGTGTGGGTTTAACCTAATACAACAGTCAAACATAAGCATAAACGTCCTGTGAATAAACAGAATGAAATCTTACGTTGTGAAGATTGAAGTGACATACTTGAAGATATTGATAATATTGTGCCCAATTAGTATTAAGACACTGTACGTGTCTTCAGGAGCCACTAACATCAGACCTGGTTTGGTAGTTCTACAAAAAATGAATATCTATTGGTTTACATATATTCGACACGTTAAAAGGTCTACAGGCAACGTTCATATGTTGGAAATTCGTCAATTAGTTCAAATATTGTCAAGACAGAATTTATTATTAGTGTTAGTATTACAGTCTTAACGGCCCGTCAACATTTGAAAGGTCATTAGGGTCATCAACAGGTGAAACACAGCTATCCAAAAAGGAAAAAAACATTAAACAATTTAAATGGTAAAACACAAATGCTAAAAATCTTAAATGGTTATATTATCACAAACAATCAAAATGGTAAGTCATAGTCTATATTACCAACCAGGAGAAACATAGATACTGAAACCAAAGTAACACATAATCGTATGCATGGAACTGCATTATAACACATGTTTACATAATTAATATCCTGTTCTTTTGAACATTTTGAACAATCATGTTTTTTTTTCAATGGCATAATCACCACTGTTTACGTAATACGCACTAAAGCAGAAATCTATTCAATTTTCATTCCTGGAATGTAGATGACCATCACCTTAGTAAATACCTTTAAATACCTTTCTACTATTTGGTCCAGCTTGCTTCTGTGTATGAAACAACTGAAATTAAATAGATAACCTATCTCTCGCTGACGTTTTAAGCTTACAATTAGACTTAAAAAAATCAAACTTAAATGTGGAAAACAGTGAATTAATTTGACTCGATATTCATGTGTCTGACAGTACATTTGGTACTTTGTGTTATGCTGATGGTGGTTTAGGAGAGTATTTCATAGTGTGAATAAAATTTGATGTTCTCTTAGAGTATCAGACAATATACGTTGGAAATTGATGCTCAAGAGTTTATCAAATTTGTGATTGAGACGATGGATTGTATAAAAAAATAAATAATAAAAATAACGAAAATCAATAACACCATTCAATACAAATTTAGCATAACAGTAGAGCCATATAATGGAGTAAACAGCTGTCCTTCTATCGCTCTTCAGTGATGTTAATGGTCTACATGAAACTTGGGAGAATACAGGATATAGCCTGATAACATAATTCAGAATCACGAGATGGACTGATTACATCCCTAAAGTATCTAACATTAAGCTTGGTACGTCAGTTTCTACATGGGATGACGCATGTTCGGCTATTTTCTGATAATTGTTAACTAAAAAGAACAAGTCAGTCTATTACACCATTTTGTTATGAACCGAATGTCAGTCAAAGACCAGCATATGCCATCTTATGTAATTTATGTGCTTAAACAAACTTATTAAGGCCAAGTTTTTACCCCAAACAAGACAACAAGAAAGAAAATGATATCTAGGATGGTATAATTATCTCAAAGTCAGTCACTCCGTACGATCATGTAACGACAAACAGCTGCTATTCCCTTACGCACTACTAACAAGGTAAATTGACACCGGTTCACGTGCTGCGGAAATAGACTAGGGATAGTTTGCTGGCTTTATCGCCCCATGAACAGAAATGACCTCATTGAACAACACACGGGAGGCCCATGCCATCCGATGCAACTAGGGTAAATTGCCTTGCTGATGGCCACACAGTAATGTTTGTTGCTGGACTTTCTGAGAAACACTACCTAAGCTAGCGCTCTATCAGACTGATCTATCGTGGCCCCTAAAAGTTAGGAGATATCATTTGGTATTCAGTATTCTTTGGACAATGATGTTTCAAGAGAGGAGTTTCAGACGGCACACATGGCAAGATGATATTTCATGAAAACATCTGAAGTATTCGACGGTACAGCCAACACGGCGGTATCGTACAGAACAACTCATTCTGTCTGTATAGATGGGCTGTAAACATTAGACACAAACGCTAACCGACTCACTATTGGATTCTTCCTCAATTTATTGTGACATCTTCCTTTTTATGCATAAGAATTTCTGCATCCGTTTGCATGTAAATAGCTTAATTTGTATAAGGCGAGCGAGAAAAGCCGAGGCATGGCGACCGCTGGCTACAATAGTTTACTGCGTCCAGAGGACATAGACCAATAATTATGTTTTCTGGTACATCTATCAAATCAAAATATCTTCAATATACGTGATTCATCGAATAACAAATATGTTTGTTTCTCTGTGACTATGAAAACTGTTAGTAAATAAAACAATCCAACAAACCTATAGTTATTAAAGTCAACGTAACTATAATTTACAGGGTCATTTATGAGAATCCCTACCCAGTAAAATAAGTGCATGCTTTAAAAGAATGTGATTATTTCTAACTAAAACACAACCTATACCATTCTTGACATGCAAGTCGACAGAAAGTGATTAGGTGTAGGATTCTATAGGGGATTCTGAAGCCGAGGTAAGGCCAGACAATTCCTTAGGCATACAACACTTATCTTCTCGTTGTGATTTCAGACCTTACAAAATATTTCTTCTCAGATTTGTATTAGTTTAGAATTATAAGGATGGCACCGATGCTAATTTGCAGTGACTAAGTTTGAGTCCCCAGGGACAATCTACACTGCCGTACCTCCCCGTTCCTGCAGAAACCGATCCGAAGTCGTTACGTCACATCGGCAATATGGGGATTGCAGAAATCAAAACTGACTATTAATTTGTAACATCGCGCCATCGGAATGTCATTTCAGTAATTAAATTTAGATAGCACACACTTGGTGGGAAGGGTTGTATATAAATGAACCAGAAACACGAAGTTGTATAGAAGGGTTGTCAGCAATAACCTTGTCATTTTATTGACGAGCCGTTCCGCCGGACGTGTGTTTGATTGCTTTCCCATGATTTTAAATACAGCACGCGCGCATTAAAACATGGTGTACTTTACACTAATTAGTCCTACATATGATTATTTAACCAAGCAATGTCAAGCAATAATTCAACAAAATAGCTTTAGCGGTTTGTCATTTAGGTGTTAGCCTGCCCGTCAACTTTTTGTTTCACGCACAATCTTTCCGAGAAAGTCTTTATTTTACTCCAATGAACGTTTTCAGACATTTTTGATATGTATTAATTGCAACTTTTTTTAAAAGACCACGTTTTAATCGTGAATGCAGTAACCGTCTTTACTAGATTTTACTCGGTGCTATTTCACTCTAAAATCAGTATCACATATCACGGTATCAGAGGGATCGGTATACATACAATATTATAAAATATATCTACTGAAATTATGAACTGATTACTGCAATCCACTTCCGGTGGACAATTGCGATGATGTCAAACCCTCTAAAGCCAATAAAAAAGTGTTCCGTGTAGTAAAGCCTAGAGAAATTCACAGCTAGATGTCGAACGATATTAAAAGAAACACATTGTAAAACATCAACTGAAACCACATTGTTTCAATTTTACCTATCAAAGAATTAAGTGTTTAAAAAAAAGAGACAATTTTCAAACATAATTGTAGGTTATTAAAACTTAAGACCATAAAAAGCCACAATTGATACAGTTAACGGTTTGTCACTCTAGCGGAAAAAAGCTGGCAGCTGATTTTTTCTTCGAACCACATGCACCATTGAAAGCATCGTAATAACAAGCTTGAGAGGAGGCTCTACATCCCCGCTGTCGTCCCCAAGACATGAATAAAAATAAATGTCAAACTCGATAAAAAGAGAGCAAATATGAAAGGAAATTCATGCATAAGGAAAACAATTCACAATGGAAACAATAATAATATAACTTTATCATCAGATCAAGTGTTCCGTAAGGGGAAGCGTCTTCAGTTTTCAAATCTCTCCATGTAAGATCGCTTTCTCAAAAAGAGAACAACACCTAAAAGCATCGAACACAGCAAACAAAATGCAATATTTCCCAATCAAATCATCAATCTACATCTCTTGACACCAATTTTCCTGTCACTTAAATCGAGTGTATTGGGAACAAGACTCTTAGATTTCGAAAATGATATTCTGAAGAGCTGAGGCCAGATAAAGGATGACAAAAACCAATAAGGGGATCTTCCGACGTGTTAGCAATGATACAGCTATCCAGAAATGGAAAATCCAAACAAGAAAAGTTGAAATTATTACGCTAATCACAAAGCTAAGCAGAAGGTTGAGCTAGGCGGCTTATGTTCATTACCTGGGATATATTTGATGGGGTTCGCCGAATTTTTTTTCTTGTCATCTAAAGGCATTATCAGCATAATCAGACAGAAATAAGTAAGGCCTTACACGTGAAGATTTTCACCAATTGCTCCTGATAAATTAGAAGCTACAATCTTTTCAATGACTTGGGTTAAATATTTCCCTTTATTTCTTGTCTTTCGCAAGATATGGATATTTACAAAATAACAGCAAAAAGCAGATATAGCACGATGTTTTTCATACGATGTTAATCAAGGACATCGGACAGTAACGGAATTGTTGGCCTGCGTTGTTATGTTATTGGTAGGGTGGAGACAAGATCACAACACAGCTGACGTCACATGAAGGTAAGTCCAAAGCTGACAAGATGGTTCATTGAACTTTAAACAAATATATGAATAACACCTTTGAACATACAATGTGAAACGGTACCCTGCATAAAGCAGATGGTTTGTCCTTCAAGGACTCGCAAGTGATTCTAGGGCAACATCCAGACTCTAAGTTTGGAAAACATCATTTCATCTGTCCCACTTTGCGGTATGAACACTAATTTACCAGGTCATATATAATGACAATATAT